TCGAACGAAATCGGTATTTATGGACAAACAAAGCAAAACAGTGAAATTCGTAGAGCGTTCATCAGAATTTGGAAAACAATCTGCAGCTCGTCGCACTCGAATCGCGTAATATTTATAAAGAAATGTGACAAACGGACATTCCTTTCAATATACACAAGATGGTATGAATTTGACTACAAGTACAATCGTAATCTAACTTTTAGTAAACAGCCAGCCTATCTGTGTGTGGTGCTCAGTCTATTTTTATTCCGCTCAACAGCCGGTATATGATTATCACAGAAAATATTTTTGCAATTCTCAATAGAAATTAATACAAAGCACGCAAGGATCTTTTCGTGCATTAAAAACGGAAATTTTTGCTTAGTATCCACCTTGGAAAAAAAACTTTTGCTAAGGTGCCCACATCTATTTCTGATACATTTAATGCAAGTTTAAATGTTAATGGAAACAATTTTGCTTATAAATTTTGTATTTTTACTTATTCTGTATTAACTTGCCATTTTTATCCACTCCCATGACTTAGACATATTTATATTTAACATTGGACCAGTGACTTGTCATATTGCCATTTCTTTAATTTTGAGTTTTTTTGTAACTTAAATCTTCTCATGCTAGTAAACGGTAATTTTTCCACCAAGTTATGCCTTGGTTTTACTTATGGTTCTTACTTTATTGCTACAATGGTTTGGGGGCACGCCGCGTGTGCTGACTTCGCGCAAAATTCCATCTTTTAGTGAATCCACTACATTTCTTGAAATAGGGAATCTACTGTATGCTTAGCACATGCGTTCCTCGCAATACTGAGAACTCTGGAGATAATAGTGGTTGTGCAAGGTGGACTGACACCTGACCCGCACTTTGCCGTACGTTTCGTCTTCACGCGGACGTCCGGTTGACAATGGGATATTTTACTCAATTTATGATCAATACAAACTGGTTTCCGTATAATTAGACCTCGAAACTTCATACCGACGCTCGCGATGGGCTCCACAGTGATGCCAGGGATTGCCTAGTGAACACCTCGCCGGAAGCATCCTACCGGTACAAATCAAATTACAGCATCATTTCAAACGTTTCAGTTCGATTTGTTGAATGCAAATATTCAATTTTTGGGTCCTTGTTTATAAGAGCATCGTTTGTTCTATCGCAATGCTTAAATATACTACACATTGGCAGAATTATATTCAAAGATTCTTAGTTCAACATGCTATTCCACTCACACTATAAAATACTGCATACTACATCTCCTTAAACCTCTAAATATATACCACTTGAGGGGCGCTCCCATGTGCAAATAGGCTCACAAGTAAAGGGTAAAGTAACATCTGTGTGGACAGCATAGTCTCCGCTCCCTTGGTCAAAAAGACAAGTTTCATTAACGCGCACACCTCATTGTGGCTTATCAGATTGAGTCCAGGAGCTTTAGGAGTGGACGTGTTCAGAACAACTGAAGGATGACCTACTGTTTGTGGGGGGGAGGTGGAAACCCGCCCCTAATGAGGATTCAAATTCGCCTGCCAGAAGGCTAAGAATGATTAGGTAAAAACCAAACTGTCCTGCAAAAGGCAAGACTGCCAATTTGGACAGGTCGAAAACCCCCACCGCTGATCCGACATTGTCCCTTTGAGAAAGGAAGCAGATTCGCTATCACAA